ACTGTTATGGCTCAACCATGGGCCCCCCCCCGCCGTGCCCTAAACACGACATCCGAGTGAGAGCAAAGGCTGAGCGATGTGCTTGGAGGGAGGAGGGTGCAGGGAGCCCGAGGGGACAAGGGGGCTGGCCCGGCTGTGGCTGTGGCTCTCAAGGGGACAAAGGGGCTGGCCCGGCTGTGGCTGTGGCTCTCCGGGGCGGACCCCAGAGTGGCTGTGCTGGGGCAGCAGCACTGCGGGGTGTAGCCTCGGTGCCCGTGGAAGAGCAGGAACGCAGGGTTCCTGCTGCCATCAGTCACTGGGCATCAGTCAGTCGAGGGTGCTTGCTGTTAGGAGTTCTGTATTTCCAGTGACAGGTCCTGTTTCTCGAGGCTGTGCCCTGACCCAGCGGTAGGACACACTCCATTGCACGACGGCTTTGTTCTCTGGCTTTCACCTTCATTTCTGCGGCAGAGATCCCATGCTGGCGAGGGCTTGGCTGGGTTAGTTTTGGTTCCATGTTCAGTGAGGTACCAGGTGCCTACTGGCAACCTGATGATGCCAAAGGCTTTGAAGGGTTCGCATGCCAGAGCCAGGCTGTGGGTTCCTCCCCGCGCACGTCCCTCCCTGCTCTGTTGACTGGTCCCTTCTGGCTACAGGACGTACCTGAAACACGTGTTGCTGTCTTGGCAGGTTTGGCAGCAAAGAGGAGTACATGTCCTTTATGAATCAGTTCCTAGAACACGAATGGACTAACATGCAGAGATTTCTGCTGGAGATTTCCAATCCCGAAACCATCTCCAACACAGCAGGCTTTGAAGGCTACATCGACCTGGGCCGGGAGCTCTCCACGCTGCACTCGCTGCTCTGGGAGGTCATCTCGCAGCTGGAGCAGGTACACGGGGGTGGCAGGGGCTTTGGGGGGAGCACAGCTGGCCAGTGCTGGGTGTCTGTACCACACCACACACCTCCCTGTGTCCAGCAGGGATCAGTCCCGTAGCTGTGTCTGTGCCCAGCAGGGCTGTCACTGACCCTTGGCGCTTCCCCAGCCTTTGCACGTGCTGCTCATTCTTTACATCCTCCTCTGAGGACGGTGCGTGTAGCCCTGTCCCTCCTTTGCTGCTTGTCCTGGGTGGGTGGGGGTGGAGGGCAGGTGGGGTGAGAAGCAGATCTGCTGAACACCAGGGTTTTGTCTGTCCCAGCAGATTCAAAAGGTTTATTTTTAATTAAAAGGATTTTTCTCAAGAGCCTTGGACCAAGCTTGGCTGTAGCTGTCGTCTTCTGTATCTGAACTTTGTTAATCAGGCTTGTGTCCTCTGCCCCACAGCAGCAAAGGTTTCTAAACCAAAGGACATCCCATAGCCTCAGTGGTGGGGGGTGGATGATGGAGAAAATGAATGTTGTTGATGTGATTTACTGAAGAGACTGTCCAACAGATGGCAAAGCCCACAGTTCTCTAGCAAAAATACAGGATGTTGGCAGTAGTTCTGCGCTCTCTTCTGCCCAGGGCACTGCAACAAAACTCGGGCCCCTGCCTCGGATCCTGAGGGACGTCAACTCGGCGCTCAGTAACCCAGCCTGCGTGCAGGTCTCGGTCACGGCCGATCACACCGCATCCACGCCTAACGCTGGCAACAGCATCTCGGCGGGACTACAGAAAATGGTGATAGAGAATGACTTGTCTGGGTAAGAGCACGAACGGTGGCCTGGCCACAGCATCTCCGGCCAAAACCTGAGCACTGGCAGGGACGGGCAGGATGAGGTTGTGTGGAGTTGCCTGGTCCGTTGGCCAGGCTTTCTGATCACAGAACTGATCCTGGATGTAGGTCAGCTCTGCATCTAGACAGAGCACCGGGCAGCAGTGCCAGCGCACGGCTCCATTCTGGGTCCCTTGGGAGCCAAAACTGGGGATGTGGTCTGGGAAACCCAGAACTTGGCGGTTCTGGTCTCAGCTCTTGAGATGTGGCTGCAGAAGCAAAATGTTCATCCTCTGAGGACTGGAGGGTTTCTTTGTGCTAACCTCAAAGTGATGGATGTCGCCATTAAGGTCATTAGGTCTCTGAGTATGCAAGATTTATAGGATTGGCCTTATCCATCTTTGTAAGACATAGGGTACGTGCTGAGATCCAAATCTGGACGTTTCTCTAACAGTTGCCAAGCTGTAGAGGCCTAACCATCAATTCCAGTCTGCTCTGTCCAGTTTTTATAATACTGGGTGGATTTAATGACGAGCAGTGATTCACAGACACAGTCACCCAACATACTTCTTGCGCTCATTACGGGCGGAGTTTCATTCATGGGGAAGATGACTCTGCTCCAGACCTGTAATGTTTCTGTTTGTGGAAAATTAAATGGAGCCCACACAAATTGAAAGCCTGTGCTAGTTTGCAAGTGAAAACTCCATAATATTTAACAGGTTAATTAGGAATGAAAGGCAGCAATGGCGCTGGACTCGCTCTAATCAGCGCTTTCATCTCTAATGCGTCCCAGCATGAGGTACAATTATTTAAGTCTAATGCTATAGAGGATTTCTGACGATATGCTTTCACCCAAATACTTGCTTACAATGCAAGCAGTATATTTTGATCTTTTGATCTTTGATCAGCGGTATATTCATGTTAAGCTACTGCAAAGCTCTTTCTTCCTATCCCTGAGAAATCAATATTGCATGAAGTGTGTTCCAGCAGGAGGAAGGGGTGGGTAACCTTCAGCGGTGAGGCTTTCGCTCTGCTGTTAGAGCTCCTGCCTGGCCCTTGGAGGGCTGCTCTGGGTCAGGCCCCCGGGGTGCTCCGTGCTGTACAAATACTGGCCCGCGTGCCCCCGGGAGCTTAGAGCCCGGGCAGAGAGCAGGGCACACGAGCGCGGTGTGGATCCAGCCGGCTCAGAAAGGCGGAGAGGTGCCGTCAGGGTGAGGAGCAGACCCAGCTGGGGTGGCAGAGGCCCGGGAGGTGTCTGTGGT